TCCCCCTTTATTTTTTTTTTCTTTGAGACAGAGTCTCGCTCTGTCGCCCAGGCTAGAGTGTAGTGGCACGACCTTGGCTCACTGCAACTTCCATCTCCTGGGTTCAAGCCATTCTTCTGCCTCAGTCTTCCGAGTAGCTGGGATTACAGGCGCCCACCACTATACCCGGCTAAATTTTGTATTTTTATTAGAGATGGGGTTTCACTATGTTGGCCAGGCTGGTCTCAAACTCCTGACCTCGTGATCTATCTGCCTTGGCCTCCCAAAGTGCTGGGATTACGGGTATGAGCCACTGTGCCTGGCCTCTCATCTCCCTCTTATAAGGATCTTTGTGATCACATTGGGGCCACACAGATAATCCAGGATAATCTCCCTATTACAAGATCCTTAATGCAATCATGCATGCAAAGTCCCTTTTACCATATAAAGTAACATATTTCCAGGTTCTGGGAATTAAAACATGGATGTTTTTGAGAGGCTGTTATTCTGCCTACCATAGGCACTATTACAATGCCCCTTGTGGCCTCCAGCTCCATGCATTGAGTCAGATCTAGGGACTGAGAGCAACCGCAGCTGGCAGTGAGCAAAGAAACAGGGGCCTCAACTCTAAACACAAGAAACTGGACTCTGCCACAACCACGTGAGCTTGAAAGAGATGCCGGCCTCCAGATGAGGATGCAGCTCAACTAACATCTTTATTTTATCCCGTGAGACTGAGCAAAGGAGCCAGTCATGCTGGTCCCAGACCTGCCTCACAGAACTGTGGTCTGATAAATGGGTGTTGGTTTAAGCTGGTACATTTGTAGTAAGTTATCACTGATAGAAAACAAACACATGGGTGAACTTAATGCACGTTCTAGATTCAATTATTAGCTCAAGTAGGTGTGAGTTGCCCTAACAGTTCTTTTGGTTGCTTGAAATGTGGACTTACTGGTGGCCTACACTAAATGAAGTTGAGATCCCAGTAGTTCATTAGTATAATTGGAAGAAAAAAATGAAAAGACTTAGGAAGAGAGTTATGTTGGAATGGATTTAATATGTGCAACTTGCTCACCCACTCCTTCATTATGTCCTCCCAGAAGGTTCCACTGAAACGGTCTTCATTAAGGCATTAGAAAGGAGAGGACCAGCATCATTGAAAAGCTCTGTAGCAGCACTTTGCTAAATGCGATGGTGGATGATATGACCAGTGAAATGAGTTTCCTGATTTTAGTGGGCACGGTGGAATCTTCAGGAAATAGTAGGTGGGTGCTAGGGCTTTCCCTCTAGAGAAAAGACAGGCATGATTATTGATGTGGGCATCACGACCAGAGCTATAATCAGGGATCTTTGGCCATGGCTAATTAATCATGGTGTTACCAGGAATGAAATGTATATTCAGCCCACTAAAATCTTACTTGATCTGCATAAGTGAAAACGTCTAGGTGGTTGAACAGAGAGCTGACTTGAGTTGCCACAGTGGAGAGTCTCAGATTCTCACCTAATTCCCAGACCCGAACCTGTTCATAAACCTAGAAATGAAGGCAAGGCAGCAAGATCCACCACCAGCACAAGGATGTGCCACAAATCTTCCTCCTAGCTTTCAAAAGGAATCTCAGTCATTTATCATCGTGACAGTGCAATGGGGAAAATGAAAACACCCAAACCTTTAGGGTAATATACAAGATATCATTGTGATCTACAAGTCAGGGTGGAGCTTATAGGCGTTAGAACACAAATGACGTGGCAGGGCGCGGTGGCTCACGCCTATAATCCTAGCACTTTGAGGGGCCAAGGCAGGTGGACCACTTGAGGTCAGGAGTTTGAGACTAGCCTGACCAACAAGGTGAAACCTTGTTTCTATCTTTCTACTAAAGATACGAAAATTAGCCAGGCATGGTGGTAGGTGCCTGTAGTCCCACCTACTCTAGAGGCTGAGACAGGAGAATCACTTGAACCCGGGAGGCAGGAGGTGGAGGTTGCAGTGAGCCAAGATCACGCCACTGTATTCCAGCCTGGGCGATGGAGCAAGACTCCGTCTCAAAAAAAAAGAAAGAAAAAGAACATAAATGACATCTTACTCCAAGTTCATCTCTAGGGTCCATCCACGCGTATTTCCCCACTTTCAAGTGGGAACCAAAGCAAGGCCATAAGGATGCTTGAGACATTGCTGAATAGATCCAATGTTGCCTAAAATGTCTGTGGTACGTCAGAAAGCTGTGTGGAGACACTGGGTAGCTAGTAGAAGAACCACAGCACAGGTGGCCAGAGCTTTGGAGCAAAAGCATGCCCTCTTCTGCATCCTGGCATCTGACTTGATCTTGGGTTCTCAGCATGCAAGAGTTCATGAAACATGAGCTGCCCTTTATGAACTGGGTGTTGTCTGCACCACCACACTAGACTGGGCATACTTAGCAGCGCTCACCTCCTTGAATCGAAGTGGTGCCTGTGAATTTGGCCAAGTTAGGTCCTCAAGGCACAAGTAAGAGGCATGAGTAGGGAGCTGTAACTCCAATGGCATCTCTAGCTACATTCCTAATCTCTCCCTCCATAATCATAGTCACATGAAGGGTTTCCTATGTCTAGTTGACTGAGAAAGGAAAGATTTGGTTTCCTCTGGTGTGTGGGTGGTTCTGCCTGCTATTCTAACACCACAGAGAGTAGGCTGCTGCAGCATTACTACTCCACTCAGGGCAGCCCTGCAGGACAGTGGGGAAGGAAAATCCTCCCAGTGATTCGAATTGTAAAGAATGCATCTGCTGTGTTTACTTTGTCTGGACAAAGAGATGACCAGAGTTACATTAACCCTGATCAATAGACAGTGGCTAACAGTTTGGCTAGATAACTCGGGGTGTGGAAAGATATAGTGAGTTGATGACAAGGAAGTCTGGGAAAGAGGAAGGTGGATGAGTCTCTTGGGAAGGGCACAGATGGTGAGAGTATGTGTGTCCCATGTGACTGTTCACCAATGGGCATTCACTGCAGAGGAAATCTTCCATGATCAGGTTGACCAGGATATCATAATATGCTGAGAAAATAGCTTCAGAATATCTTTTTCATTTTTCAAACTGAGGCATAACTTACATACCATAAAGTGCACAGATCTCATGTGCACATTTTAATGAAGTTTTACATATCTATACACCCTTGTAATCACCACCCAGATCATATATAGAACATTCTCAGCTTCCCCTGTCTGTCCCTGCAAGCAGGCTTTCTCATGCTTTCTTTCGGTCAGCCTTTTCCCCAAAAGGCATCCTCAACTCTGACCTTTATTACAACAGGTTTATGTCACATGTTCTTGAACTGTATGTGAATGGAATTATACAGTAGGTACTGTTGTTTTGACTTATTTTACTCAACATTGACTATGAGATTAATTAATGTTACTGCATGATTTCATAGGGGTTTTTCACTACTGGGTAGCATTCTGCTGTATGAATATGTCACAATTTACTTACCCATTCTATGGTCAGTGGACTTTGGGGTCAATTTCCACACTCTGCGTTGGTGTGAATGAAACTGGGCATGGTTACATGTTTCTTGGTGGACCACAAGGCATTCATTCTGCCTGGATATTTACTCTAGAGGGAAGTACGCCGATCAAAACAGGGTAATTGTGTGTTTTATATTTAGCATTTGCCAAACATTTCCCAAGATTAATTGTATCTTTACAGTTCCACTTAACATGTGAGGAAGGTTCAGGTTGTCAATGTCTTTCCAATACTTGGTATTGAAATGGTGTCTTTTAAAAGCTATTCATTTGATGGTGTGTGTTATGTAGTGATATCTTATTGCGTTTTTACATTTCCACTTCTTCTGATAAGCAGTAAATATGGGGTTACTTTTTCCAAAAAACATTTCCACCGGCTGTTATTGATTAATCCTCTTTTGTTTAAATATTTATCAAATTATTTTGCCCATTTTTGAAAAAAACTTGGCATCACTCTTTTTTCTTATTGTAGTTCTTCTGCATTCGTAAGTATTGGGAGTCCTTGTGGTAGTATATATGTGGTTGGCCTATCCTTTTCTTCCATCTTTTGGAACTTTTCTTTAGTAGTTGAAAGAATGATTACCTCTTATAAGGTTATATGCTGATACTAGGCTTTAAATGAAAGTCCCACATCCTCACACTGTCCCTTTAATAAAAGTGTTGCTTTCTGTGTTCTTGCTTAGGTTCTAGTATCTTTTGGCCTACCTTCAAGGATCCACCAATATTTGGCTGACGATTAAATGTATGATTTTTTTTTTTTTTTTTTTTGGAGGACAGTCTCCTTCGCTCTCTCGCGCGCGCTGCGCGCTGCGAGTGGGCGTGTCGAAATGGGTCCATGCATCAACGCCTCTCCTGCTTCAAGCACCCGAGTCGCTGCGCCTCAGGCGGCGCTGCACACGCGGGCTCAACTGTGTGTTGTCTCTGCCGAGGGCGGCCGCGCGTTTCACCATGTGGCAGCTGCGTCTCCCGAACTTCCTGACCTCATAATCTACGCACTGGCCCCAAAATGCTGGGATTTTAACGGCATAAAGGCCACATTTACCCAGCAAATGATACATATTTAAGTCCTGGATAGTGATGTATGAATGAAGCCACCGAAAAAAAAAACTGAAAGAACAAACAGGAAAACAAATAAGTGTGTGGCCCTGATAATACATTCATTACGTGCTTTTGTTTCTTAGACATGTCCTGGTAATATTTATAGCACCATGAGGAAACAGGGATGAGAAACGTTGACCCTGATGTGGCGGGAAATGGGAGAGAAGATGTCCTGAGGGTGGTCGTCGTGACTCCCCACAACAGGGGCGGAGACTCAGGAAAAACTCACAGAAGCTTTGACTCGAAGTCACCTCCAAGCCGGTCAAAGTCTCTGTGTCCTTTTGCTGTTTCTTTTCTTGACCTAGTCCATGTCCATCTCCACAGATCACATCCTGGGAACCTTCAGATGCTCCATTTTAATTATTTCATTATCATTATTTTTTTCTCCTCAGTGACTCCCTCCCACCCATAATATGTTTTGATATCTAATCTATGGCCACAGCCATCTTGTCCTGCCATGGCCTTCTTGGTGGCTTCCTCTGTGATCCACTCCATGGTCTCCTCCGTGGCCTCCTCCATGTCCATAACGCCCGCCATGATTCACTCCGTAGCCATCTCCATGGATGTGGCTCAGTCCATGGCCCACTCCATGTCCAAAGCCACATGTTCCTCCATGTCCCATTTCAAGTTCTCCTCCATGAACCAGAGCATTTCCCAGGCTGTGGAATGTCCCAGAGCCCAGGCCCAAGTCCAGGTCCAGACCAAGGCCATGGCTGTGGCCATGGGGGTAATAAACACAATTCCTCAGGGGGAAGAAAAGGTCTCTCTAAAAGAAAAAAATATGTATATTGATCAATGAAAATTAAGTCTCCTCTCCCTAATCACCATACATGCCTGTTTCACCGATGTCAGATTTTCGCTTTTCCAAACCGCCTATTTTCTCTCCTCTTTACCACCATCCTTACTATGATCTCTGTCTCTGTCTCTCTTTCTCCTTGTTCTTTTACTCTTTCTCTCTCTGAGAAAATAAGCTTCCCTGTTACCTTATTAACATATTCTCTTTATGTGACTACTCAGGCCCTTGTTCTGCAGATCCTAAGGTTATGTGTTTTTGGAATTTCAAGACAAAGGTAAATCCATACCCCTACATGAAAGGCACAGAGACTCACTTGACAGACAGTCTTTCTCTTTGTTAATCAACTAAGGAAGCTGAGGACAGGTATGTGGAATTGAGAGCCCTCGAAAGCTGTTTACACAGAGCCTTGAGATTATAGGCATGAACTCCAGAATCTAACCAACCTGGGTTAGAGTCTTAGATCTGTCACTCACTACATGTGCTGGGGCAAATAGCTAAGATCATGGAGCTCCAGATCCCTCACTTATAAGATGAATATAATATGGCCACGGGATTGTAGACCAGATTAAATGACATCATGCATTTTAAACATTCAGCCTTGAGCCTAGCACGTAGTAAAAACTCAGTGTCCACTTTCGTTATTCTCTCTTGATCTTGCAAATGAAATAATAAAGTAATTTAGGGAGTAATTCTTAGATGCTGGTATTTATTATGTAGCCCACATATGGAGAGAGGCTGAGAATTCTAAAATAAAGAACCTCAGCAAATTGACTATAGTATCCAAACCTTTTGTGGCTTCCGTAAGTATTTTTTATTTGTCCATTTTTACCAGTGGTATGTTGTCCAACACTTAATAACAGGCTCTCCGAAGGAAAAGTGCTGATTTGCAGTGTTTGACAATTGCTGTGGTGTAAATATTTCCAGTACAGCATATTTTAAGCTACCAGTGTCACTCCACTCAGCTCAGAATTGGGAAGAACTGCACAATCTCTTGTGGGCTAGGATGAGCCGGCTCCAGCACACCACTGATTTATACTCTGCTTCACTCTTCAAATGGGAACTTACCCACAGGATCACAAGAAAACAGGAAGAACACAAATAAATGTGAAATCAAAGTAAGAAAAATATGTATTCAAAGAACAATCAAGACCAGAGAGCAGAGATGGAGTGGGAGGCCAGAGGGTAACATTCACAGGCCGCACAAGGAATTGCAGAGTGCTGTGAGGACCAGAAATTTGTCATACATGAGACAATCAGAAGCCTGCCTTTTGGATGGCTGAGCATTTTTATGTTTCTTTCTTTCCTTTCTCTATTTCTCTCTTTCTTTCCTTTTTTCTTTAGTCTTTCTTTCTTTCTTTCTTTTTCTTTCTTTTTCTTCCTCTTTCCTTCTCTTTTCTCCCTCTCTCCCTCTTTCTTCCTCTCTTTCTTCCTTTCTTTCTCTTTCTCTCTCCTTCCTTCCTTCCTTCCTTCCTTCATTCCTTCCTTCCTTCTCTTTCTTTCGAGACAGGGTCTTGCTCTGTCACCCAGGCTGGAGTGCAGTGGCATGATCTCTGCTCACTGCAACCTCCGTCTCCCAGGTTCAAGCAATTCTCGTGCCTCAGCCTCCCAAGTAGCTGGGACTACAGGTACATGCCACCACTCTTGGCTAATTTCTGTATTTTTAGTAGAGACAAGTTTCACCATGTTGGCCAGGCTGGTCCCAAATGCCTGGACTCAAGTGATTTGTCCACCTTGGGCTTCCAAAGTGCTGGGATTACAGGCGTGAGCCACTGCGCCCAGCTGCTTCTTGCTTTCTTTATGTTTATGTCCTCCTTGTTCTCTCTCAGTATTTCCTTTGTTCTCTCAGTATTTCCCTTCACTTTGGCCCCAACTTCATCTTTTCCCTCCTCTTTGTCTACTTTGCTTCTCACTTTCTCTGACTTAAGGATTCGCTGTGATCCTTATATCAGGCTAGGTGATTCTTTCCTTCTGAGTGCACCAACTTACTCCCCTTTCTCATTCTGGATTTTTCCAAAGCACTGCTGACATGATTTCCCCCACCATTAAGACCTGCCTTCTCTCCAGGCTCCCCTATGAACCCACCCTGGGTACTCACCAGACAAAAACTCAGTCCTACTGACAATCCAACACCAGCCACGACTGCAGCCAGGGAAATGAGGATGATAGCCCAGGGCTGTAAATATCCACTTGGTTTGATCACGTTTGTGGGCATGTGGCTCATGCTAACTGTGTTCGTGCCTGTGGATACTGGGCCTGTTTCCTGGGAGGTGCTGCTAGTTGGCTCATGGGTGGATCCTGTGGTGGTCCTGACACCAGGGGCTGAGGTGGTAGATGATGCTCCCCTAGTAGATGTATCCAGGCCAGAGGTGTTTGGGACTATTCCTGGCACAATATGGCTGGCAGCAGAGGCTGTGGAGTCCATTCCAGAGGTCATGGTGACAGAGCTGGAGGCGGTGGGTCTGGTTCCAGTGGTCTTGGTGCCTATGAAACAGGTCACACAAGATGATGCATTTGTAGCAGAGATGATTAAAGAGGAATGGGGGTGCTTAGAGCAGAGGAGTGTGAATCTAACAAACCTATGGTGGAGATGGCTCAGGAGAGGGGTGATGGGGGAGGAGAGATGGTAGAAAGCGATTCTGCTGTGCCCATGTCCCCAGAATAGAGGTGGGTGTCGTACAGAGAAGGAAGTAGAATGTGTCAACTGGTGGGGTTGGTGATGGAGGAGGCAGAAGGTTGAGGAAATGTGATTGTGATGGGTTCAGAAGTGGAAGATCTATTTGACTTCCGAAGCTGCCACCCAAATAGAAGACAGCGAGCTGTTTAAAAGGAATGAATTAACAGCATTTGCAGTGTCCTGGATGAGACTGGAGACTATTATTCTAAGTGAAGTAACTCAGGAATGGAAAACCGAACATCGTATGTTCTCACTGATATGTGGGAGCTAAGCTTCGAAAATAGGAAGACATAAGAATGATGCAATGGACTATGGGGACTTTGGAGGAAGAGTGGGAGGGGCGAGGGATAAAATACTTCAAATATGGTGTAGTGTATACTGCTCGGGTGATGGGTGCACCACAATCTCACAAATCACCACTAAAGAACTTACTCATGTAACCAAATAGCACCTGTATCCCAATAACTTATGGAAAAAAATTAAAAATAAATAAATAAAATAAAATAAGTGGGCAGGCTGGTATACAAAGCGGCAGGCCCTGCTTCTCTTGTGACTGTGATCACTGGGCATAAGGAGGGAGCTGGAGGAGGAGATGACAGAATTGGATTCACTCACGGGCATGCCAGTGGCCGTGGCTGGGACAGAGGTGACATCATCTACCACACTGTGGTGGCCAGCAAAGGTGGGGTGAGTGTTCCTGGGCAGATGTGGGAGGACCTGACCTAAGTGGAGAAGCTGCTCACAGGGACAGGAGAGGGGGGCTCAGACAGGTGCGAGCGAGAATCAACACAGCAGAGGCAGTGGTGGCAGCTTAGGTAGCGATGGGTGTGCCTAGGTCAGAAGTGGTTAAAATGGGATCACAAACAGCACCAGTCACGAGAATAGAGGTGAGTGTGCTCAGAACCAAGAGGATAGAATCAGATGCAACTGGCTTGCTGATGGCAAGTGCCAGAGAACGAACAAAGTTGTTTGGTCTCAGACTAGAGCAAAGGTTGTCAAATATTTTCTGTAAAGGTTCAGACAGCAAATACTTTAGGCTTTTGGGCCAGGCAGTCTCTGTTGCAAATACATTGAAAAGCGGAAAAGCAGCTGGAGACAAACCGTAAATGAATGGGCATGACTATGTTCCAATAAAACTTTACAAAACCAGGTAACAGGTGAGATGTGACCCATGAAACGTGGTCTGCCAGCGTCTGGACTAGGGTCAATATATGGATAGGAGGTGGCGGTGTCACAGATGATAGGTTGAATAGAGATAATCTACTTGGCACCGAAGTGGGAGCATTTCACAAAACTGTGATGGGCCAGCAGAGTTGAGGCAGGCTTGCTGGAGGAAGATGTGACAGACATAATGCACTTGTGGTTTATTATATTTTGTGGTTCTGATTGCAATGGAAGTGGTGGGCAGTTAAAAAAAAAAAAAAAAAAAAAGGTGAGACCAGAGTAGAGGCAATTAGGATTCTAGAAGAGGAATTTTTTTTTTCTTTTTTTTTTTTTGAGATAGAGTCTCACTCTTGTCGCCCAGGCTGGAGTGCAGTGGTGTGATCTCTGCTCACTGCAAGCTCCGCCTCCCGGATTCATACCATTCTCCTGCCTCAGCCTCCTGAGTAGCTGGGACTACAGGCGCCCGCCACCACACCCGGCTAATTTTTTGTATTTTTAGTAGAGACGGGGTTTCACCGTGTTAGCCGGGATGGTCTCAATCTCCTGACCTCGTGATTTGCTCGCCTCGGCCTCCCAATGTGCTGGGATTACAGGCATGAGCCCCTGTGCCCAGCCTAGAAGAGGAAATTATATCTAACTCTGTGGTGGCTTGATTTGAACCAGGGCAGAGATGATAGAAACAGGTGAACAGCTGGTGGTTGCCACTGGAGTTAAAATGTGTGAGCTCAAAGAAGACCTGGGGGTTAGTACCTGATATAGCTGTGTTGGTGATGGGCTGAATAGACACGTCAGTGGCCTTGGTGGATACAAAAGTGGTGGCAGAGACAGTGGTGGAGGCTGCAGTGGCCCCAGAAGCTGTGATAGAGACTGTGGTGGTCTCAGAGCCTGTGAGGGAAGTTGCAGTGGGCTCAGAGCTTGCAGTGGAAGCTATGGTGGTCTCAGAGCCTATGATGAAGGCAGTGTTGGTCTCGGAGCCTGCACTGGAGGATGTGGAGGTCTCAGAACCTGTGGTACAGGCTGTGCTGATCTCAGAGCCTGCTGTGGAGGCCATGGTGGTCTCAGAGCCTTCAGTAGAGGTGGTGGTGGCATCAGAGCCTGCAGTAGAGGATGTGGTGGTCTCAGAGCCTATGGTAGAGACCATGGTGGTCTCAGAGACTGTGGTAGATATTGTAGTCATCACAGAGCCTGTGGTAGAGGTCGTGGTGGTCTCAGAGCCTGTGGTAGAAACTGTAGTGGTCTCAGAGCCTTCAGTAGAGGTGGTGGTAGTCTCAGAGCCTGTGGTATAGACTGTTGTGGTCTCAGAGCCTGCAGTAGAGGCTGTGGTGGTCCCAGAGCCTGTGGTGGAGACTGTGGTGGTCTCCAAAGCTGCGGGAGAGGCTGTGGTGGTCTCAGAGCCCATGGTAGAGACTGTGGTAGTCTCAGAGCCTTCAGTAGAGGTGGTGGTAGTCTCAGAGCCTGTGGTATAGACTGTTGTGGACTCAGAGCCTGCAGTAGTGACTGTAGTGGTCTCAGAACCCTCAGTAGGGGTGATGGTAGTCTCAGAGCCTGTGGTAGAGACCATGGTGGTCTCCAAGCCTGTGGTGGAGACTGTAGTGGTCTCAGAGCCTTCAGTAGAGGCCATGGTGGTCTCAGAGACTGTGGTAGAGCCTGTGGTGGTCTCTGAGCCCGTGGTGAAGACTGTAGTGGTCTCAGAGCCTTCAGTAGAGGCTGTGGTGGTCTCAGAGCCTGTGGTAGAATCTGTGGTGGTCTCAGAGCCTGCAGTAGAGGCCGTGGTGGTCTCAGAGCCCATAGTAGTGACTGTAGTGGTCTCAGAGCCTTCAGCAGAGACTGTGGTGGTCTCAGAGCCTTCAGCAGAGACTGTGGTGGTCTCAGAGCCTGTGGTAGAAACTGTAGTGGTCTCAGAACCTTCAGTAGAGGCTGTGGTGGTCTCAGAGCCTTCAGTAGAGGTGGCGGTTATCTCAGAGCCTGCAGTAGAGGCTGTGGTGGTCTCAGAACCTGTGTTATAGATTGTTGGGGTCTCAGAGCCTGTGGTAGTGAGTGTAGTGGTCTCAGAGCCTTCAGTAGAGGCTGTGGTGGTCTCAGAGCCTGTGGTAGAGACTGTAGTGGCATCAGAGCCTTCAGTAGAGGTGATGGTGGTATAGATTGTTGGGGTCTCAGAGCCTGTGGTAGTGAGTGTAGTGGTCTCAGAGCCTTCAGTAGAGGCTGTGGTGGTCTCAGAGCCTGTGGTAGAGACTGTAGTGGCATCAGAGCCTTCAGTAGAGGTGATGGTGGTCTCAGAGCCTGCTGTAGAGGCTGGGATGGTCTCAAAGCCTGGAGTGGAGACTGTGGTGGTCTCAGAGCCTGTGGTAGAGGCTATGGTGGTCTCAGAGTTTTCGGTGAAGACTGTGGTCATTTTAGAGCTTGCAGTGGAGACCTTGGTGGTCTCAGAGCCTATGGTAGAGGCCATAATGGTCTCAGAGCCCATGGTGGATGCCATAGTGGTCTCAGAGCTTGTAGTAGAGGATGTGGTGGTCTCAGAGTCTGTAGTAGAGGTTGAGGTGTTCTCGGAGCCTTCAGTAGAGGCTCTGGTGGTCTCGGAGCCTGTGATGGAGACTGTAGTTATCTCAGAGCTTTCAGTAGAAGTGGTAGTGTTCTCTGAGCCAGTGATAGAAACTTTAGTGGTCTCAGAGCCTGTGATGGAGACTGTAGTCATCTCAGAGCTTTCAGTAGAAGTGGTAGTGGTCTCTGAGCCAGTGATAGAAACTTTAGTGGTCTCAGAGCCTGTGGTGGAGAGTGTAGTGGTCTCAGAGCCTTCAGTAGAGGCTGTGGTGGTCTCAGCGCCTGTGGCAGATACTGTAGTAGTCTCAGAGCCTTCAGTAGAGGCTGTGGTGGTCTCAGCGCCTGTGGTGGAGACTATAGTCATCTCAGAGTCTTCAATGGTAGTGATGGTGGTCTCCAAGCCTGTGGATGAAACTGTAGTGGTCTCAGAGCCTGTGGTAGAGACTGTGGTGGTCTCAGAGCCTGTGGCAGAGACTGTAGTGGTCTCAGAGCCTTCAGTAGAGGCTGTGGTGGTCTCAGAGCCTGTGGTAGAATCTGTGGTGGTCTCAGAGCCCATGGTGGAGGCTGTGGCGGTCTCAGGGCTGGTATTAAAGTCTGTAGTGGTCCCAGAGCCTGTGGTAGAGGCTGTGGTGGTCTGAGAGCCTTCAGCAGAGACTGTGATCATCTCAGAGCTTGCAGTGGAAACCTTGGTGGTCTCAGGGCCTATGGTAGAGGCCATAGTGGTCTCAGAGCCCATGGTGGATGTCATAGTGGCCTCAGAGCCTGTAGTAGAGGCTATAGTTGTCTCAAACCCTGTAGTAGAGGCTGAGGTACTCTCAGAATCTTCAGTAGATGCTATGTTGGTTTCAGAATCTTTAGTAGAGGCTGCAGTGGTCTCAGAACCTGCAATGGAGACTGTGGTCTCAGAGCCTGCAGCTGAGACTGTGGTGGTCTCAGAGCCCATGGTGGAGGCTGCGTGGTCTCAGAACCTGCAATGAGACTGCGTGTCTCAGAGCCTGCAGCTGAGGACTCGTGGTGGTCTCAGAGCCCATGGTGGGAGGCTTCAGAATGTGCAGTAGAGGCTGTTGTGGTCTCAGAGTCTGCAGTAGAGGCTGTGGTGGTCTCAGAACCTATGGTAGAGACTACAGTGGTCTCAAAGTTTATGGTGGATGCCATGGTTGTCTCAGAGCCCATGGTAGAGGCTGCGATGGTCTCTGAGCCTGCAGTGAAGACTGTGGTCATCTCAGAGCTTGCATTGGAGATCTTGGTGGTCTCAGAGCCTGTGGTAGAGGCTGCAGTGGTCTCAGAACTCATGGTGGATGCCATGGTGGTCTCAGAGCCTGTAGTAGAGGCTGCAGTGGTCTCAGAATCTGCAGTAGAGGCTGTGGTGGTTCCAGAGCCTGAAGTTGAGACTGTGGTGGTCTCAGAGCCTGCAGTAGAGGTTATGGTGGTCTGAGAGCCCATGGTGGAGACTGTAGTGGTTTCAGAGCCTGTGGTAGAGACTGTAGTGGTCTCAGAGCCTGCACTAGAGAGTGTGGTAGTCTCAGATCCTGCCGTGGAGGTGGTGGTGATCTCAGAACCTGAAATAGAGACTATGGTGGTCTGAGAGCCTGTGGGGGTGTAGGTGGTGGTCTCAGAACCTGCTGTAGAGGCTGTAGTGGTCTCAGAGGCTTTAATAGGGACTGTAGTGGTCTCAGAGCCTGTGGTAGAGGCTGTGGTGGTGTTAAAGCCTGCAGTGGAGGCCATAGTGGTCTCAGAGCTCATGCTGGATGCCGTGATCACCTTGGAGTCTGCAGTTGAGGTTGTGGTGGCCTCAGAGCCTGCCGTGGAGGTGGAGGAGGTGGTCTCAGAACCTGCAGTAGATGCTGTGGTGGTTTCAGAGTCTGTGGTAGAGACTTTAGTGGCCCCAGAGCCTGCAGTGGAGGTGGTGGTGGTCTCAGAGCCTGTGGTAGAGACGGTGGCGGTCTCAGAACTTGTGGTGGAGGCCATGGTGGTTTCAGAAGTTATGGTGGAGGCCATCGTTGTCTCAGAGCCTGCAGTGGAGGTTGTGCTGGAGGCCATGGTAGTCTCAGGGACTGTAGTGGAGGCTGTAGTAGAGGATGTTGTGGTCTCAGAGACTGCGGTGGAGGCCACGATAGTTTCAGAGCCTGCAGTGGAGGCTGTGGTTGTGTCAGAGCCTGTGGTGAAGGTCCTAGTGGAGGCTCCAGTAGTCCCTGAGTCTGTGGTGGAGGCCGTGTTGGTCTCAGAGCCTGTGGTAGAGTCTGTGGTGATCTTAGAGCCTGCAGTTAAGGCCATAGTAGAGGCCATGGTGGAGGCCGTGGTGGTCTCAGAGCCTGTGATGGAGGCTGTGGTGGTGTCAGAGCCTTCTGTGAAGTCTATGGTATTCTCAGAGCCTGAAGTGGAGGACAAATAAGGTGGGGAATGGATTAAGGATGAATTTGCAGGTTTAGTATAGCATTACTTTAACATATACTCAGTACTGCTTGCTCATTTGTTTATTCAGATATTGAGGGTTTAATATGTACCTGGTATTTTACTAAACTCTGGGCATACTCCTGTTAGCAAAAGAGATATGGGCTTATAATTTAGTAAAGAAGAGAGATACAAAATGAAAACATACAAATACACATTGGCTCAGGTGCTGTTAAAGAAAGCAGTGGTGCTGCTTTAGGTACTAGAGTCAGAAAAGGTCTCTCTGAGGAACTGACATATGAACTGAGATCTGAAGGATAAGAAGGCAGCCATTTGGGCCAGGCGCGGTGGCTCGTGCCTGTAATCCCAGCACTTTGGGAGGCCGAGGCGGGCGGATCACCTGAGGTCGGGAATTCGATACCAGCCTGACCAACGTGGAAAAACCCCATCTCTACTAAAAATACAAAATTAGCCGGGCATGGTGGTGCATGCCTGTAATCCCAGCTACTCAGGAGGCTGAGGCAGGATAATCACTTGAACCCCGGAGGCGGAGGTTGCAGTGAGCCAAGATCGCGCCACTGCACTCCAGCCTGGGCAACAAGAGCAAAACTCCATATCAAAAACAAACAAACAAACAAAAAAAAGTCAGTCTCCAGGAGGTAAAGTCTTCCAGTTTTTGCTTGTCTAGAAAAGCCTTCATTTCATCTTCATATTGAAAATATTTTTACTCTGTGTAATTCTAGGTTGATAGAGTATTTTTTGTTTCAGTATTTTAATGATGTTGCTTCTTGAGCTTCTGGTTGTCACAGTTTCTCACAGGAAGTCAGTTATCATGCTTGTCTTTGCTCCTCTCTATATAATGTGTCATTTCTTTTCTAGCTGGTTCTAGGATTTCCCATTTATCACTGATTTTTAGTTATTTGATTACATTGTACTTTGGTATGATTTTTTAAAGTTTATTTTGCTTGATATTTGTTGAGGTCTTGGGATCTGTGAGTTTATAGTTTTCATCAAATTTAATTTTTTCAGCTACCATTTCTTTAAACGTTTTTTCAGTTCCTTTTCTGGAACTTCAATTACACTTATTGTAGACAAAATATTGTCTCACAAAATCACTGGTATTCTATTCATTTATTTTCAGCCCATACTCCCTCCACCCCATACTCCCTCTCACCCTCACAAGATTCTGACAACACATGCCAGGCTGCCACTCTGTGGAGAAGTCCACTTCACCCAATTTAGTTTGTTTTTTTCTTTCTTTCTTTTTTCTTTTTTTTTTTGAGATGGAGTCTGGCTCAGTCACCCAGGCTGGAGTGCAGTGGTGCGATCTCAGCTCACTGCAACCTCTGCCTCCTGGGCTCAAGGGATTCTCCTGCCTCAGCCTCCTGAGTAGCTGGAAATACAGGCGTGCATCACCATGCCCGGCTAATTTTTGTATTTTTAGTAAAAACAGACTTTCACCATGTTGGCCAGGCTGGCCTCTAACTCCTGACCTCAGGTGATCTGCCCACCTCAGCCTCCCAAAGTGCTGGGATTACAGGTGTGAGCCACCGCACCTAGCCCCAGTTTAGTTTCTTATATCCCTCTCTGGGCCACTGCTGTCTCCCCTCCTGTCCAACCCTGATATCTGCTTTCCTCTTCCTCACCTGATGATCTGGGGCTCAATCATTCAGAAAGGGAAGAGAAAGTAGAAAACAAAACTGATTTATGTTTTTAAAAAATCACACTCATCATGCTGCGTGAAAACTGGCATGTAGGAGGGCAAGAGTGATAACAGAAAATTGGTTAAGCATAGTAATTATTGGTTGGACTAGGATGGTAGCAGGGGAGATACATTTCGGTGGATGAATACAAGCTATGTTTTGAAATTAGAAAAGTAGAACCAATAGGAAGTGTTGAAAGGCTGCTGTAGTGGATGACAGGAAAGGAAGTCAAGAACAACTTCTGGCTTTGGGGCTTACACAGAGAGTTGGAAATTTGTTTTATTTATCTGAACGAATAGGGATGAAGTGGAGGTTGGAAATATTAGAGATTTTGAACTTTTTGTGCCCATTAGATATCCAGGAGACTGTTTGTTGGCAGTGAGAAACCTGCACTTAGTTCTCAGAGGAGAAATCAAAACAAAAGATATAAAACTGGAAGTTATTTAAATATGCATGGTATTTAAAGCCTTGAGGTTGACTGAGATCATTTGTCTGGGAGGGTATAGTTGGAGAAGAGGGCGCTAGACCAAGCTCTGGCTGCTGCGTCATTCAAATAGAGGAGGAGAGGCGAATGAATGAGACTGAGAAGGAGCATCCAGTAAGATAGAAGGAAAACTCTAAAAAGTGAATCAAGGAAGTCAAGAGAATAGAGAGGCTCTAGGAAAATATGGTAGTTAGCTGAATTGATTTTTGCAGAGAGATCAAGTAAGATATGGCCTGGGCCATGTCTACTGGATTCAGAGACAATATGGAAGTGAGTGTTTAGTTTATTGAAAACAGATTTTCATGATGGGATAGCCCCCAGTTGGAATGAATGAAAGTATAAGTAAGTATATATGGAGGCTTACGGATTTCACAGAAGAATAGAAAGTAGAGAAATAACAAAAGACATACCTCCACAAGGACAAAGGATGGAGAGATGACAACAGCAGAGGAGATAAATTTTTTTTTTAAAGATAATAGCAGAAGGATGAGTGGTAACTCTCCAAAGAGAAAGCTTCAACATACAGGCCTCCACTGGGGGTGAGAGTAAGTCAACTACTGGTAAATTATTAATTCTGTGGAATCCTGGAAAGATTCAGGAGTTGCAGCCAGGTTCCTCTGAAGCTTTGGGTGTGGCATGTGACTAAATACAGGAAAGATGGTTGAAATACAGTGTAGCTAGGGACTGTCTCTCAGCTCCAGATCCCTCCTTCCACTCAAGGAGTTGGATGACTACACCTCTCTCCCTTACAACAGCTTAGGATTTTCTCTCTGGAGATATTGAAACCAAAGAAATTCTAGACCAGTGATCTCAGGCACTGCTGAGGGCAGAAGTGAGAAGTTTTACTGAAACTGTGCAATTAAGGAAATGCTTACACCCTGAACTGTAAAACCCTCATTACCTCTTCCCTTACTCAGCTTCCAGCACCTCAGCAGCTATGCTAGTATGCTCTAGACAGGATCTGGAGAATTCTTCTTGTGGAAAGAAATTAGACAACACTAGATACTGAAATTTCAAGGATCTTCCCAATCAAAACTGCCACGTCTCTGCTAAGTTACCCTAAAGCTAAGTTCACCAGCTGACAGGCCCTACCCCTGCACACAAAGCTTCCAGGCATCATATTGTTGCCTCATTTTCAAATGCAAAGGACATTCTGGGATTACCAGATATTTGAGGAAAATCTCTAGCTTGAAATATAGAGACCAAAACAAATATCCCTATGAAGCAAAGTCAGAGAGAACTGAGACAGTGCAAATAGCAAACCCAACTTCAAATGTCCTCAGCAATATAAGAGAAAGTATAGCACCACAAGGTCAGTAATCAAAATGATATTCAGCTAACTACCACATTTTTCTAGAGCCTCTCTATTCTCTTGACTTCCTTGATTCACTTTTTAGAGTTTTCTTTCTACCTTACTGGATGCTCCTTCATGGGAAGGAGTGAAAACAAACAAACAACAACAAACAAATAAAAGATGCCATTTTAAAAATGATTGTAGACAAAAAAAGATCTCTTTGAAATAAAAAAAAAAACTCTCAAAATTCACTAGAAGGATTTGAAGACTTTAGAAGCTGAGGAAATCTCCCCAAAAGAAAAATAAAATGACAGAATTGGAAGACAGAAGAAGAAATGTAAGAAAATTAGAGTGTGAGTCCAGGAGGTCAAACATCCAAATCATAAAATTTTTCAGAAAGACAGAACAGAGAAAACGGATGAGAGGCAATTATCAAAGAAAAAAAAAAGCAAGAAAATTTTCCAGAACTGACTGATATAACTTTGTACTGTACAAGTTCCTAACACAATGAAAGAAGAATCCATACTATGGCACCATATCATGAGATTTTAGAACAGTAGTTTTAAAAATCTGAAATCATGCAGAAGAAAAAAATATGGGTCTCTTGCAAGAGGTCAGTAAACTAAATGATATCAGTCTTCACAATCTAGAATCTAGAAACAGTGGATCAATCCCTTCAAAATCCTGAGGAAAAATCGTATCCATCCTAGAATTCTATAACCAGTTAAACTATGAGTCAAATGTGAGGGTGGAATAAGACATTTTCAGACATATAAGGTCTATGGACAGCTAGGCCCATTTTTCTCTTCTTCCTGGGCACATGGCTAAGTTACATTTCTCAACCTCTCTTGTAGCTAGGTAGGGCTACATGTCTAAGCCCTAGTCAGAGGCCCCTAAAGGGAAGGAATACATATTAATTTCCATTTCATTTCTTTAAGAGTAAATACCTATTCCTTGATTTCTGCTTGTATATATATTTTTATTTTCTGTATATTATCAAGTTTTCACATCTTAACAAACTTTTCTAGCTAGGGAGAGATAGCACCTTCCAGGCTAGCCAATTCTTAGAAGTAGCAAAGGGCCCAGCCAGGAGCATGAGCTGATATGCAAACTAACCATTCCAGAGCCATAGCTCCTCTATCTGGCCCATATACTCCAGGAAACAATATTTATCTGCCTTAGTCATTCCAAAGGCAAGTACTAGGCAACTAGGTAGTAATCAGCTATATAGCTCAAAGAACACAGGAATTATTCAAACCAGCCAATCCTAAACTGTTTGCCCTGCCTTTCCTTGCCTTTCCCACAGAAACCCCAATAAAAGGAAAGACCTAAATAAATCTTTCCTTCACTCCTGTCTTCTGCCTCCTGACTACCTTGGTGTCTTTCTCAGGTGGTCCGGCATGGCAGTGCCATGCCTCCTGTCTCTAGGGCCTGTGAGCCTCTCCTCTTGTGGCTGCACCTTGACTGACTGTATCATAAAATAATATAAAATACTGTTCTTCTGCCCTCTCCTTGGTCTGAAATGATGATGACACTGGAAACCATATGTTGAAGATGGAACAGTCATATTCACCCAGGATCCCTGAATGACTGCATGGAGCAGAGCTCCCACCATCCTATAATACTTATCTTAGGACTGGTACAAGGGAGAAAAATAAACTTGTTTATTTTTCAAAGTCACTTTCGGGATCTCCTTGTTATAGCAGCTTAGCATTACCCTAACATTGCATAAGGTTTTAAAATAATTTTCCACCATAAACTCTCTCTCAAGAAGCTTCTAGAGAAAGTGCTGCCCTGAGATGGAAAAATAAATCCAGAAAAAAGATAGGAATTTACAAGAGAAAAAAGGGAATTTCCAGAACGTTGCAAATACAAATTGCAGGACAAGAGACCTAGCAAGTAACCAGTACTGGTTGGACAGAGGTTCCAAATGGGATTGCTCAAGGGAAAAAAGTGAAACTGATAGATTGCCTCATGTGTATTGAAAAGACAGGGATAATTCTGGTAGAGGTTTGGGGATGAATTAATAGTATATATGAAGAAAACTATGGAAATTTTAAAAATGAGGCTATTTTTAATATCTAGAAAAACAAAAATTACAAGAACGGATGGTCATCACAATGCAATTATATGATCCAGTTATAAATGTTACTAGAGGTAACATTTATAGTTTTTATAATGTCATCACAATGCAATTATATGACCCAGTTATAAATGTTACTAGAGGTAACATTTATAGTTATCATAATGTAAACACTAAATGCAAATTTAACACCAAAAATTTGGGACAATCATTTGGGGAGAATTGTGAGCAGGAACATGAGACATAAGTGTACAGAGGGAGTAGACTAACTTAAATCTTCCTTTTCATTAGAAGGAAGACAATAAATCATTCCCGAAGCAGAGAAGAAAAAAAACCTCAACCAACAAAGAAGTAATGGTAGTAAGATAATTTATGACTGGGTGTAATGGCTCAGGCCTGCAATCCCAGTGCTTTGGAAAGCTGAGGTGAGAGGATTCCTTGAGCCCAGGAGTACCAGGCTGTAGTGAGCTATGATGGTGTCACTGCACTCCAGCCTGGGTGACAGAGCGAGACCCTATCTCTAAATAAATAGATAAATGCAGTATGAAGGTAAATGCCAACAGGAACCCTGGGAAGCAGGACTCAGAGTAAGAAGCAGTTGGGGAAAGGGAGTCAGGGGCTGAAGTTTTATGAGAAACCTTGTAGGACTACAAGTTTTTCTTTTTCAGAACTACTTACATGCACTACCTAATATAATAAAATAAAATCAACAAGTGAATGGGAAGTGAGAAGTGACATAGCAAATGTGGGGAAGGCCTTCAAGAATGGGGGTGAGGGGCTGGGCATGGTGGCTCACACCTGTAATCCCAGCACTTTGGAAAGATGAGGCAGGTAGACTGCCTGAGCTCAGGAGTTCAAGACCAGCCTGGGCAACACAGTGAAACCCCATCTCTACTAAAGTACAAAAAATGAGCTGGGTGTGGCGGTGTGCGCCTGTAGTCCCAGCTACTCGGGAGGCTGAGGCAAGAGAATCGCTTGAACCCGGGAGGAGGAGGTTGCAGTGAGCCAAGATTGCGCCACTGCACTCCTCTAGCCTGGGTGACAGAGTGAGACTCCATCTCCAAAAAAAAAAAAGAATGGGGGTGAAGAAGGAGAGTGGAGGGAGAGGCGGGGTGGCTGAGGAGTGATGCGGGGACGTTAGGATGGACATCATTCAAACAGTGTTTGGTCCAGGGACCTCTGGGGTCACACTGTCTGAGGAACTCACGCCATCCCACCAAGCCTACTGAATCAAGATCTTGCTTGGTGGGGTGTCAGGACCTGGAAAGCCAAGCTTTTAATCATCTCCTTGGATGATACTTGTGCATACAGAACTGAGCTTGTTTGGATGCTGATGGAAAGGATTCAAGAAAGGTAAAGTGAGATGGGAGGGAAAGGAGAAATGCACTGAGCAAAGCCCCTGAGACGGCAGGAGGATGAGAAGGCACCCAGCATTCAAATGGAGGAGTTGGTCCTTGCTAATCCAATGTAATGGGGCTACAGGAGAGACAGTGGGTCACTTTATAGACCTAGTGGTGGGAAAAGAGGAGGTGCCTGTCAGCACTTGCATGCTTGTTCCCTTTTGTAAGGGAATATTATTTAAGTCTATGTTTTACAGTAGACCAAGAGTTCCACGGGGGCCAAGACCATGGCATTTCCCACTCCATTCCTCACCGTGGCCTAGCACGCAGCAGTGCCTGGCCCAGAGGAGGAGCTCTATACATGTTTGTTGAATGACTACATGAATGACAGTTTCTTCTGAGGTAAGGGGACTCTTGCTTAAAATCAGACAGATAGGACTGGAGTTCGGGATTAGGACAGGCGACGGGTGGATCTGGAAGGCATGGGTAGATAAAGAACAGCTGAAGCATTCAGGATGAAGGCAACAGGAAAGGGAAGAAAAAGAAGTGCTGAAGCGGCTGAGGGAGCGAATCCAGAGTAGGGTGCAGGAAACAGATGCATACTGAGGAAGAAGGGGGAAGCACCCCAAATCCTCTACATCATCCAACCTAGACCTTCTCTTTCAACCACACCTCCCGCTTCTTGAAGTGCTATCCTACAGTAAAGGCAATGGAATGGATAAGCTGATTAACCTGGTGTCTTATAATTAGGGAAGATACGTTGATGTAAGAAATCAAAGACAGGAGTGAACGGAACTTTCTCAGACAGTCCGTTGGAATCACATGGAGCCCAGTTCACTTCTCCCCTGGGCTATTTCCTTTCACAGCCACCTCTGATCCAATGCCAGAGCCAACCCCTCAGTGGCTGACCTCCAATTTGTTCCTACCAAGGAAATTCTCAGGGGATTAGACATGGATTTGGAATCAGGCAGCATCCAAAGAAGGATTGAAGCAAAAAAAAAAAAAAAGTAGATGTTGGCGTAGATGCGGTGATCAGGGAACACTTCTACACTGCTAGTGGGAATGTAAACTAGTACAGTCACTATGGAAAACAGTGTGGAGATTTCTTGAAGAACTAAAAGTAGAGCTACCATTTGATCCAGCAATCCCACTACTGGGTATCTACCCAGAGGAAAAGAAGTCATTACGAAAAAGATACTTGCACACACATGTTTATAGCAGCACAATTCACAATTGTAAAGTCATGGAACCCAAATGCCCATCAATCAACAGGTGGATAAAGAAACTGGCATATATATATGAAGGAATACTACTCAGCCATAAAAAGGAATGAATTAACGGCATTTGCAGCGACCTGGATGACATTGGAGACTATTATTCTAAGTGAAGTAACTCAGGAATGGAAAACCAAACATCGTATGTTCTCACTGATATGTGGGAGCTAAGCTATGAGGACTCAAAGGCATAAGAATGATATAATGGACTTTGGGCTCTAGGGAGGAAGGACGGGGGAGGGACGAGAGATGAAACACTACCAATAGGGTGGGTGCAATGTATACTGCTCAGTGATGGGTGAACCAAAATCTCACAAATCGCTACTAAAGAACTTACTCATGTAAGCAAATATCACCTGTACCCCGATAACCTATGGAAAACAAACAAAGAAGGATTGAAGGATTTTTACTTGACTTTAGACTGAGATCCTGGTTTTAATTTGGAATTAAGAATGCCATTGGAACTAGAATTTTCCAGTTAAAAACAAAACTTTTATCCAAGATACAAAGGAAAGTAAAAGTCTCACCCCCACCTCATTTCCCCAGCACCGCCCCTCACCGCCCCACAACTTGTGCTCGCAGTCACAACTTGGGGAGACTAATACAGATTTGCTTCTAAGATAGCATCAGAGTCATAGTCAATGGAATTGGGATCAGTATTGGCTTTTGCAGAAATGGGCAAAAAAAAAAAAAAAGAATCATCATTGTTTCTGGAAGAAGAGTCATGCCTAGACAGGGGATCCCCCATCTCCTTCAGGCTTTATGTGGCCTCCATGCCCCTCTCCTTCCTTAACTGCTAAGTAACTTACTGGGTCCCAGAAGTCCAAAGAGAAGCAGCCACAGGAACCAGAAGGCAGGAGAGATGTTTCCTCTTCTCATCTCTAAATGATGCACATAGAAGTTGTCATTTAGATGCCTGGGTTCCAAAGGAAGAATAGGTCAAAGAGGCAGAGAGACAAGGGGCAAACCCCCTGGGCCTTGATAGAAAATAAAGTTGCACAAAAAGACCCAAAGGCCAGCCACTGCCAGGGTAAGCCTTGTAGGCAGGTGGGATGGTTGCAGGGAGCCCCCAAATTGCTCCACAGTTTGGCTTCTTGTTTTTCTTCTTTTTTCCTCGCAAGCGTATCTGTGGCATTTATAGCTGATGCTGAGTAGGAGAGGCCAGAGCTTTGGGTCCTCCCTCCCCAGGGAGGGGCATCTCCGCACTGTGCTTTCTGCAGGGCCATTTGGAGAAATGTACCCTACAGGGATCAAGGCGGAGGAGTGAGCTGAGTCGGTAAGATCAGAGGGCGCACACATGAGGAGGGGCAGGGACAGGGGCAGAATGAGGGGATCAAACTTGTCGGAGTGGAAGGGACCCACCCTTTGAACCAGAGCTGACCTGAAACCTGTTTTCCCTGGGTATGCCTCATTTTCAAAGCAGGAGGCCTTTGTAGAAGAAAGAAGGAGGAAAAGAAAAGGAAACAAATGGATGGTAAAGGTCAATAGCAGTCCATCGGGGGGATGCTGGGGATTTGGAGGGTGAGAAGAGCATCAGGACACACGCCCAGTTTTCTCCAGAGTGCTCCTTCCCAGCTGCAGAGCAGCACGTGGCTGCGTGAGTGACGCACTGCATTCCCCGTGAGCTCTCCAAGGGTGGGGAAACTGGACATTGAGTGAGTCTCACTTCTAGTATGAAGCGGAAGTGAGTAGGGAAGAGGATGGGGCACGGAACTGCCCATTTCCCTGAGTTGATCTTTGGCAATGGCTCTTAAGCATAGGGCAGGGACCCTAACTCACCTGGGTCCCTCTTTCTAGGCTCACAACTAGCAGTTGATTGAAAGTGACCCCGTGTGACTCAGATATGCAAGGACAAATGTAGTTTGACTTGCTATAACTCACCCAATTCAGTTTTTGAACTCTTTCCCACCAATGGCAGGGAAGGCTGGGGTTGGAAATGAGGATATGGGTTTAAGCTTGCCAAATATTGGTGATAAAATTTCATTTTCTTTTAAAAGTGTCTCTTTCGGAGGACATACTGTGTGGTTCTGATTATATGAAAGTCGAGGACAGGGAAAAATCAACTGATGATGATTGAAGTCAAAATACTGGCTACCTCTGGGGTGGCACTGATGGGGAGGAGGCGGGGGAGGCTTCTGGGGTGAAGCCTTGACACATCTTGATCTGGAAAGTGGGTAGGTGAGTGTATGCATGTATTAAAATTCAACAATTGGCCAGGCACAGTGGCTCATGCTTGTAATCCCAACACCTTGAGAGGCCGAAGTGGGAGGATTGTGTGAGCCCAGGAGTTCAAGACCAGCCTGGACAACATAGCAAGACCCTGTCTCTATTTATTTAAAATAAATATGTTAAATAATTAAATAAAATTCAACGACTTGAGCACTTATGTGTCCACTCTGCACATTTTACTGCATATATTTTAAGTCTCAATTTAAAGATTAAAAACAACAGTCAAGGGTACAAACTTTCAGTTATAAGATGAATGAGTTCCGGGACTTTAATCACACGGAGACTATAATTAACAATATTGTATTGTCTGTCTGAAATTTGCTAACACACACAGAAAAAGATGGTAAATATATGTTGATGATGTGTTCATTAGTTCAACAGTGGTAATTATTTCGCAGTGTATACTCATCAAATCAACACATTGTACACCCTGAAAACACAATTTTTATTTGTCAATTATACCTCAATAAGCTTAGGGGGAGAATTAAAAACAATAAAAAAGAAAAAGAATTTGGTGGCTCATGCCTGTAATCCCACAGCTTTGGGAAACCAAGGCAGGCGGGTTTAGAGTTCGAGACTAGCCTGATCAACATGGCGAAACCCCGTCTCTACTAAAAATACAAAAGAAAAAAAAAATTAGCTGGGCGAAGTGGCGGGCGCCTGTAATCCCAGCTACTTGGGAGGCTGAGGCAGGAGAATTGCTTGAACCTGGGAGGCAGAGGTTGCAGTGAGTCAAGATCATGCCACTGCACTCCAGCCTGGGTGACAGAGTGAGACTCCGTCTCAAAAAAAAAAAGAAAGAAAGAAAAAAAAGAAAAGAAAATGAAAACAATATTTCAGGTCTCTTTTGGGTAAACACTTGGCCATATGAAATTTAATGTCCCTCTCGGGACTGTTTTTCCCATTTCAAGGGCTCTCCCCTCCACCTCTTCTTTCCCGCACGTCCTCTGAGGGGGAATTTGTGCCTCCTACTGGCAGTGTGGGAACAGGACTTGGGCCCTTCAAGCTGGTATCTCCTGAGCTTCCTCTCATCCCATCTGGTCACCGGGATCCTGCACTGGCATCCAACGACTCAGAGACACAGTACTACCATTGTCTTCATTTTATAAATAAGGAAACTAAATCATGGAGAAGTCAAGTAATTTGGCCAAACTCACAAAGTTAATAAGTGATGGAGTCAGGAACTAAATCAGTCCAGCTGCAGAGCCTGTGCTCTTTGCCATAATAAAAGGAGGGTGTCATGTCCAAACAGGACTTGGAGTCTGGTCCCTGAATATCTTCCTCCAACCAGACTGCCTGTTCCCAACCTCGTCTGACGTAGAAATTCTGGAGCTGTCACTGTTAGAAAATATGCAGAATGTAAAACCACAAAGCTACAGAGGCCCAGCTACGTGGAATTTGAAAAACAGATGGATGAGTCATCATAAGGGACATGTCAGGAAAATTAATGAGTTAGGAGCAGGTTGCTCGAGTGGAGCTGACTGGTCCGAGATCATTTTTAAAACACCTCCTCGAAGAGGCTGAGTCATGAGGGTTCTGATGACTATGAAGGAAAGAGCACACAGGGGTTGAGGGCTTAGGACTTGGGTTTGTTTTAGAGAGTAAGAGATTAGTTTTGCACAGTGTAGGGAGTTCCAGGGACCCGGCAATTACGTAGAGTACACAATTTATAAACATGGCATAGATTTGAAATTCGCCTTTGAATGACCTGTGCTGAAAGTTTGATTTAGGAAATGCCTGTGTTCCAGATTCTCGCTGCCGTCTCTCTCAACCTCACCCTGTCCCAGCTTAGATTTTCTTCAGCCTGGCTGGACAACGTGTCTGCTTTCCCTTCTAATTTTAGTTTATCCCCAATTCAAGTAGAGTTCTTTTCATCACAAGGAGTCTCAATGGTACCTTCCATATAGCATATGGTTTATCAGAAAGTAACAAAAAGAAGCAAGATTTTCTGTGAAATACAGCCTGATATGGTCTATGTCTGTGACCCATTTTCCCACAAATGGACCACTCTGATGGTGGCCACCATCCCTGGATTTGGAGATCTCTCCTATAGCTGCTTAGGCTTCTTCAGCTATCTGGAGCCACCATTTGTGTAGAAATGTCCTATGTGCTTGAGTGCCCATCTTCAAATTTTTTGTCGTGTAGACACTCAAAAACAATTTTGAAAAGCTGTTTTCCTTCCTCTGTTTACGTTTAATCTAAATTTTTATCATACATTTAATTATTGCACAGAATGTAATTTCTACCATGTTGTAAATATAGATATTGAAATAATAAAAGTTTTTACTACTCTTTAAAATGTTTCCAATAGACTCTAAACACTAGCAGCATCTCAATACTCATCATTATCCTTTTTTAAATTTTATTTTACTTTAAGAAATGGAGGTCTCACTATATTGCTCAGGCTGGTCTTGAACTCTTGGGCTCAAGCGATCCTCCCACCTCAGCCTCCCAAAGTGCTGGGATTACAAACGTGAGCCACTGCACCTAGCCTCCATTATCCTTTTGAATAACATATAAGCAAGCTCTTCCTCAATAGTCTAGGTTTTTCCTCCTGCTCTATGAACTTATAGTTCCATTTTACTTGCCCCATATTATTCTACTGGTCTCTCTCCATATATAATATTAAATACCAGTAATATAAATATTCTACTGCTATATATGTGTATATATATATAACAGTGTATCTAATTAATAAACTTTATTTCTTAGAGCAGTTTTAGGTTCACAGCAAAATTAAGTGGAAAGTACAGAGGTCCCATAGACTCCCTGCCCCTACGCAAGCACAACCTCCCCGCCTCGTTGACATCAGGGTTTACTCTTGTATATTCTATGGGTTTTGACAAATGTACAATGACATGCATTCACCATTGTAGTACCATATACAGTAGTTTCACGCCCTAAGAATCCTCTATGCTCCACCTATTCATCACCCCACCCTCGTAACCCCTGGCAACTATTGACTTTTGACTGTCTTTTTAGTTTTGTCTTTTCCGGGATGTCATAGGGTCTGTAATATTTTTTTGCTTGAAAGGCTTTTATTGATCACCCTATCATACTCCTCTGCATCAAAAGATATGTTTATACACTTCTTAAGAATTTCCTGTGCCTTGTAAGACACTGTGTTCAATTTATAGCCCCCCAATAACGTTTTGGTGAATTAAACAAAAATGCTTCTCTTATGATATGTTTTTCCATATTTTCAAGAAAATATGAATCATAAACTTACCTAACCTTTTTCTTTCTTTTTTTTTTTTTTTTTTGCGATGGAGTCTCACTCTGTCGACCAAGCTGGAGTGCAATGATGCGATCTTGGCTCACTGCAACCTCCATTTCCCAGGTTCAAGCTATTCTCTTGCCTCAGTTTCCCATGTAGCTGGGACTACAGGTACCCGCCACCACATCAGCTAATTTTTGTATTTTTAGTAGAGATGAGGTTTCACCATGTTGGTCAGGCTGGTCTCAAATGCCTGACCTCAGGTGATCCACCTGCTTCGGCCTCCCAAAGTGCTGGAATTACAGGCATGAGCCACCGCGCCTGGCCAACTTACCTAACATTTAAAAAATAACACAACTTTCAGAGCACTTATGAAATGCAGGACTATTCTAAACCTCCACAATAACCCAGTGAAGTGGGTACTATTTTCACT